AGTGAATCACACTATTACGTAGGTGAATTTAAAAAAAATTCTGACGTAATATTTTCAAGAAATTTCAGTTTTTTTGACTTCAGATATTTGTCGGCCAAATGAGTTGTCGGCGAAGTGTACATGTCGGTCAAACAATTTGTCGGCGAAATGGTGTCGGCCAAGTGAACGCGACCCAATCCAACGCCCATAGTACTTTTTGTTATCTTTCGGTGTACTAGCTACAAAACCGTTCATTGACTACGAAAATACGTACAAAGGTACGATTTTGATTTATGAATTCATTAAATAATTTCACAATGCTGTTCACTTATGACACGAAGAGCAAATATGACAGTTTATCGCACAGGAAAAGTTCGACGAGTCACAATGACCATATCAAATTTCAGGAGGCCAACAGATACTTTCGTAATCATCGAGAAGCGAGTGGGCACTTCTTTTATTGAAAACCAAATGTAAATCGATTGTCTTTATAATTTATAATACTTAGAAGAGACGGATTTTAAGATAGTCTGTTTTACTAATGATTATTGGAAGAGTTATTATTCTACTACACAGAAGGATGAAGACTCATGTGGATGAATACTAATATTAGCATTTGTACCTGTTTTTACGACTCATTTATAATAAACTAATGCAATTCTAAATTGCTAACTAATGATTTCAGTTCTAGAACATTTTTAATGTGAACAGGCATCATATGAGTTACTTTCGGTCGGCTCTTTTTTGAATCCACAATCATCCTGCCATTATATCTATCAAAACATAGCTTTTATAACATATTAATAGATACATGTGAGATTTAACCTGAACTTATTAAAAACTGAGTTTTAAACATTAAAACAAAGGCTTGATTACATAGATTTGTTGAAATGCATATCATAAAAGAAAGTGTAGATTCATTTTTGCATTTCATTTTATGTTTCTATTTCAATTATAACACCATATATAAATGATTTAGTTATATTTTTAACGTGAAAAAAACGATTTCAAAGAATGTAAATATATTATAACTTTGTAGACGACAAAGAAAGACAACTCGAGGCCTTACTCGCCATTACTCAGTCTTCTCGTCAGTTTGTTGGAAGAAGAAAGAAAAACACATTTATTCTCGCAACTTTACACTATGGGCATGTGAAGGAAACCTTTTTTGTGGTAAGAGAAAGACAGAAAAGAAAAAAACAAATCACCACATCATCAAAAAGTAAAATGAGCTCTTGGGATGGAGAATGTCGTCGTAAATTGAACGATGATTTTGAAAATGTTTTTCGTGAACATGATCGTTTAAGACAAGATCTTAATTCTGATCAAAATCAACAATATCAATTACTTTTAAATTCCATTGATAAATGGGAACAAAATGCTATAAAAAAAATTCAAAAAACAGCTAAAAATGCTCGCAATGATGCTCAAAAATTATTAAAAGATACTAATCAACAATTACAACGTGTTTTAAATGATACAGTTACAGAAGAATTACGTGATGCATTAGAACAAAAAAATAATTTTACTGAATTTCATATTAATAAATGGTTGGGATATTTATCTGAAATTCGTAAACAATTAGAAGCAATTTCTTCGACAGTCAATTTTACACATCATAAAGTGATTCATTTAATTAAAATAAAACGAAAATTTTCCTTAAGCAGATTTGGACAAATTAATCTTGATTATCATCAATTTGATTTTGAAAAAATTTGTGGTCATCCTACTTTTTATAATACTGAACATCTTATTAATACTGATCGTCCAGCAACTATTGTTAGTCAGAATACTTATTCTACTGGTACACATTATTTTCGTTTTCGTGTTGAACAAACTACTAATGAATTATTTTTTGGAATTATTAATAATACAGATATTGAAAAATTAAAACAAAATATTCATCCAAGACCATCAATTCATGGTTGGTGGAATATTGATCGCTGTGTCCTCAAAGGTCGAAAAGAACCATATGTTTCTTCACTTAATATATATAATGGTGATGAAGTAATATTAATATTAAATTGTGCTGCACGTGAAATATTTCTGGAATATCCATCAATGAGTAAATTAAATTCAATAAAATTAGCCGATGATGTACGCGATTGTTTACCATGGCAAGTATTAATTGAAATAGGAAAACCTGGCGAATGTTTGCTTAGATTAGTCGATTGGGGTACCACAGCTCATGTAACAAATCAACCAAACAGACAATTTCATTGTTTTTGTACATCTAATTAATTACCATCTCCTGTACTAGACATATATTGTAGCATTAGATAGACACTTATTTTATTATGGTCTAACATTTACGACAATTTTCAATATTATTACATTGAAATAAATCTTTCTTTTTAAAATTTCTTTTAAAATATATTTAGATTCGATTTAGTTTTTTTTTGCGTATGTTTATTTTATAAATGAAAAAAAGTATCTAAATTATATAAAAATCTAGCTTGAATAAAGCGTGTAAGTAATGTAAATGGAGTGAAATTGAACAAAAAATTCAAGGTTTCTTGATTATTGAAGTAGTTTTGCTGCTATAAATATATGTTAAAAGAAAGAAAGTTAATAAAACGAAGGAATAATAAATATAATAAAGTTCAATACCTTTATGTTTTTTTAATGTCATTTCAGTATCAATTAACTGTTGGTATACCTGTTTAGTAATGACATCTTCAAACATAATTTTATCATCGAATGTTAACGTTTAAGGCCCCCTCCCCCTCAAAAATCGATCTCAGCCCTGGTCAATACAAATGGGCTGAAATTTGGAGCATATGTTGGGGCTGAAGTGCGAAGGCTGTGGTAAAATTTTCAGCTCGA